AAAGCCACTGAAATTGCATTATATTGTTATACAAGTCAGTTAAAGTAATGATGGCACAACAGCGTGACGCAGAATAAATTGTTGGGATGACTCTAAAAGATATATTAAGTCATTTGTTAAATTGAAAAATGAATGCAGTAATTTTGTTTTGATTCATCATCCTTTTAAAGGCAGAATCCACATCGCCAGTACGTAGCACAAAATAACGTCCAGTAATTTCATAATGGTGCTGACCCCAGAAAAAGTGACCCATTTTTCCAGGAAAATCATGCTGAGTACTGTCACATTCCCAGAAAGTTACTGACTCAGTGAAGCAGCTCTTGGAAGTATTTGTTTGTGTCTCATGCTGCGTTTAAATACATCCTGTAAGGCTCTGGTTTAAAAACATTTAGATGAGGTTTTGTTTGCTGTTGGAAAAAGTAAAGAGACCCCATGAGGAGGTAATGTCTCTTTACTTATTTGAGTGTGTAATTATGTATTGTGGCTGATGTTTGACTGTAGGAATCAAAAAACAACAGCAGCATACATACAGCAAACAACATATTGTTAGAGTGGCAGTAAATTAACCTAGTATATTGTTAGTGTTGGTAGGTGTGTCGTGGTTTTTGTGCTCTCCATCCCCAAAATGTCACATCCTGGCAAAATGACTCCTATAAAATGTGTTGTTAGTAGTTGTTAGTATTGTATTTAATGTCATGTGTTTAATGTAATGACTGTTTATATGTTTTGGGGGTCTGGATCACATGGATTATGATCCTCCAGATGTTACTATCATAAACAGGAAGTCAAATTTAAACCCCCCTGTATGAAAACAATCAACAGCTGACTGACATATTATTGTGTTTGTGTGCTGTTTTGATGCAGGCACCTGCAGGAAAATGACCCTCCAGCCATTAACTGCAGTGAACTGTGCAGGCCTCGTACAGCCTGGCCTCTCTCTGCTGCAGCTGGATGGCGAGGCTCTCCTGTTTGGCCAGAAAGGTTGGCCCAAGCGCTCATGTCCAACGGGAGTGTTTGGGGTTCGGATCAAACGTGGCGAGATGAAGCTGAGGGCCATCTCTTTCTCTAATGAGTCGTGCTACCTTCCTCCGTTACGTTGCCCGGCTGTTTGCCGCCTCGACCCCTATGACGGGCTTCCAGAGAGTTACCTCATCCACGGCGGCCGCACTCCAAATAACGAGATCTCATCCAGCCTGTACCTGCTGACCGTTGATAGCCGCGGCTGCAATCGTAAACTGACCCTGTGCTGCAAAGAGAAAGAACTGGTGGGAGAAGTGCCGGGGGCCAGGTACGGCCACACAATGAGCATGATTCAGAGCCGGGGGAAGACAGCTTGTGTGTTGTTTGGGGGTCGATCATACATGCCAGCGGGAGAGCGCACCACAGAGAGCTGGAACAGCGTTATCGACTGTCCTCCTCGGGTGTTCCTGTTTGACTTACAGTTTGGTTGCTCCTCTGCGCACATTGTACCTGAGCTGTTCGATGGTCAGTCTTTCCATTTGGCCCTTGCTAGAGAAGACTGCGTCTACTTCCTTGGGGGTCATTCACTCACATCTGACTCCCGCCCCCCTCGACTCTTCCGCCTGCGTGTTGAGCTTCTGCAGGGAAGCCCATTGCTTTCCTGTGAGACTCTAGACACCGGCATATCCATCTCTAGCGCCATAATCACCCGCACAGGTCCCACTCACAGATACATCATCTTAGGTGGCTATCAGTCAGACTCTCAGAAGAGGATGGAGTGCAGCACTGTGATTCTCAATGAAAAAGGGATCCACATTGAGCCCCTGGATCCACCTAAGTGGACCCCAGATATCATCCACAGTCGCACTTGGTTTGGTGGCAGTGCTGGGGAGGGAAGCATCCTACTTGCTGTGCCTACTGAGGGAAGGCCGTCCCAAGCAGATATGCATTACTTTTATCAGGTCAGCTTCCAGACAGAGGGAGAAGCCAGAGAGGAAGAAGGAACCCAGGGCTGCAGCCAGGAGTCAACAGATTACGATGACTCCACTCCTCTGGAAGACTCTGAGGAGCTCTACTTCGGACGTGAGCCACACGAGCTGGAGGACAGCAGTGAGGGAGAAGAGGGTGCTTACAATGAGGACGATGAAGAGGATGAATCACAAACAGGCTACTGGATCAAATGCTGCCTGGGTTGTAATGTGGACCCCAACACGTGGGAGCCGTACTACTCCACTGAGCTCCACCGGCCAGCTATGATCTTCTGCTCCAGAGGTGAGGGGGGACACTGGGTCCATGCCCAGTGCATGGAACTGTCTGAAACGCTGCTGCTCAGGCTCTCTCAGGGCAGCAAGAAGTACTTCTGCCTGGACCACGGAGGCCTGCCGTACCAGGAGATGACCCCACCTCGACAGGTCATGCCTCTGAAGCGCACCCCCATGAAAGTTAAGGACAGGAAAACTCCTCCGACAATCAAAATGTCCCCCAGCAAAAAAAGCTTTTTCAGGAGGCTTTTTGACTGAATCGAGTTTACTGACCACGGTTTAAACTTCTGTGTGTAATAAGGATGTTTATATGCAATGAATAAACAACTGATAAAAGATACATAATATACTGATCTGTACTCTGTGTGAAATTTTTGTGAAGGAAAAAAACAAACAATAAAATTGCAACCCTATATTTCCCGTCTAACATCTGTATATTTTCATTAAAAATTTAAGTCTATCCACAATGTTTCTATTTTGTGTTTTTACCAGCTATAAATCAGATTGTTGCAATTTTGTATTCTATTATGTGCCACAAGTTTAACTTCCAGACACTTTCTTTCATAGCCAGATGGAGCCGAACTCTTTTTTTTACAATTCTTTCCACAATTAAAATGATGGTTATAGAATGAAAAATGCCCAATAAACTGATCTGTACTTGACGAAATAAACAATAAACTGCCTCACATTCTGTTTTCAGACCTGTTTATTTCTAATGTGTTTTCCCCAAACATTTTATGTGACAGAAAATTTTGATATATCATTGTTTCTAGTTTGCATTTTTATCAGTTTTATATGCATTTGCAGTTATTTTGTATTCCATCGAGAACCACAGGGAAAATAAGAGGGTAAATCAACAGTTTGTAAAACTGGCTTTGAGGGCAAAATATACCTCAATTGTTTTTATGATTAAATGAATTATAATTGATAAATAATTATTGTACACTTCTGTAGTCAGTTACACCTGTAATTGAATCAAATTAAATCATGAATGTCTTTATAGTTGTATCTTTTTAAAGGGCTTTCACAGTCTTATATGAGACGGAAGTTATTTTTTATTTTAGTACCACAGTAAAAAAAAAAAAAACCAAGCAGTTATGAGTGCTGTCTTCCAGATTAAAATGTGCCTGAATCCTGAATTCTTCAATATCAAAATAAAACCAAATATATTTGCTCAATAAAAACAAACAAGGAGATCAAGTCAGTTTATATCTTTATTTATTCTTTGGAGGAAACAAGGACAAATAAAGTACAAATTCCTCTGTAAAGGTAACTCATCAGAAACATTGTAAGTTGTCTGCTTCAATGGAAATACAGCACAAATGTGTGAATACTGTGTAGTCTTTAAAATGTAAAAAGTAGTGGAGCCTCAGTGTAATACAGTACTAGTATGCAAAGTAAATGACATCTGAAACAGTTTGCCTGATATTTAGTGTAATATGGAAACAAAAAAATGTGGAAATACTCGCAGAAGAGTGAACAAGTGGAATTTCGTGAATCATCCATCATCCATTACTTTGGAGATGCAATTCATTATGGCAGAAAAACACAACAAATATGAGACAAGTTGCACTCTAAAACACGACAGTATTGTAGGAAAGTGACAACTATGGAATGAAATGTGAATATTTCACCGCTGTCATATGCTTAAACTTATGACAGTAAAATAAAATCAAACATTCAATCAAATAGGAAAACAAAATTGCCTGTCACAATTCAAAATGGCGAGGGCAGAGAAAAGACAATATAATCAATCAATCAAACAAATAAAGTTGCCAACAAATCAGTTTACATCCAGCCTCTCGAGCTCCCGCTCATCCCTCTCCTCTGTCAACCGTGGCAATGAAGAAATATCAGCAGGGAGAAAGAGCCAGGTTATATACAGAACTTAAGAAAAATCCCTGCCTGCTGGAGAGTCCATGGGGTATTAGGCTTCGTAATGGACCATACTGTATTTTTATGATATCAACAAAAAGGTCAGTATATGCTTTATTTTATGTGAAGAATTCGAATAAGTATCATCTATCCTCTACTGTGCAAAAACTAAAAGAGATAAAAATTGGTTCAAAGTGACCTGGCATCTATTCTGCCCCTCAGGGATCCCACGATAAAGCACTAAAGTAATCTTTTTCAGAGGGCACTCATGAAACAAAGAACATTTGGGTCTCTGTGATTGCATTTTGTTCCAGCTCAAATGATATATTAATACAGTGGCCACAAATGTGGTCTTTTTAACACAATTTCCCTCCATGACTTACAGCACTTTCATCTGTTTCCATAAATATCCGCTCTATATAAATTCATAAATGTGTCACATCCTTGCAATACAATAAACTGCGCAATATTTCACAGATGGTGAAGATAAAAAAAAAAGAAGAAGAACTTTCCTGCTAAGAGCAAGAGAAAAGAAACCTGCGTGTTGCTTCTCTATTCCTCTGCTGTCCCATCTTTGTGCTGGAGCAGTGCAGCAACAAAGCAAGGCAAAGTTAGATGTATATAAAAAGGCAATACAAATATAAAAATACTAAACAAGTGAAACACACATTTAAAAAAGATTATTTCTGTAAATGTTTGGAAATTACTCTATCTGAGTGCAAGAAATTGTTTTTTTTTTTTTTTTTTGTAAAGTCCAAACATAAAGGATGATGTTGGTTTAAATTTGCAAAATTCATTTAATCACAACAAAATACAAAAAAAAAAAAAATGTAGAAAACTTGGCTTCAAGTCCATAAAATCCACTCCCTCATTATTCTAAATATCAGTGAATGGGTATATTTGTAAACAAGTCCATATCACTGATGGAGGCAATTCAAATATTACACACAACTATCTTGAGAAAAATCAAAAGTCATTATCTTCCAGAGACATGTCCTCATAATCCTGGCTCTCTATTGGGTCAATAGTAGCTTGCAGAGCTTTGGCAGAGTCCTTGTGAGCTTCCATAAACTTCTGCAAGCACTTTGAGGTGTAGAGCCAGTGGTGTTTCAACACGTCCTCAAGCTCAAATGCCTTTGACTGACGTGCGTTCATCTTCCGGAAGCGCCTGAACAGTTTGTTCGCCGACTCGTTCCCCTCGCTGGCCCAGGCTCCTATGGATCCTTCTCTCTCTATGATCTCAGGCACATGGGCCAGGGTCTTGTGCAGGTAATTGGTTATTTTACCGTTGTACCTGTATTTGAAGGTAGAGGAGAGAAGGTCGGCGAAGCGCTGGGAGTTAAAACTGTAGCGGCACAGCTGGTCGGGGCACTCCTTGGCAGGGCAGGTGGCGCGCCACACGGGTTTCATCTGGAGGTAGATCCTCATGAGCTCCCTCAGGGCCTCCCTCCTCTCCTCCGAGGGCACCAGCTCACACACCACCTCCACAGCCTCCTGGGTCATTAGCCTGCGGGCGTAGTTCCCATTCATCCTCATCACCGGTTTGAGCTTCAGCTTCTTCCTCAGCTGTTTATCTAGGGCTGCCCTCCAGCTGCGCCGCTCCTCCCGGCTGGGGTTGACCTTTTGGTACACCTCCCCTATCTCGTCCTGGAAGATTTTGTAGAACTCTGCCGCATTGCCGATGTCGCAGTGTAATGCATCCAGCGTGGGCTGGGTCTCCATGAAGGGCTTGGCAGAGACTCCTTTGACTCTGTCTCGCAGCTCATCTGCAGACTCAGAAAAAGGATTGGTTCTCCATATTTCATAACGGTCTAGGTTCTCGTCATGACTGCGAGTGATGGAGTGGAGCACCATGTTTTGGGAGGCCTCTGCCCGAGTGGAGTCACAAAGAGTGCAGACATAGGTGGACCCTGAGGCCTCGAGGCCCTCCATCTCGCGCACCATCTTCTCATCATATCCCGTGCCTCTGAAGTGAAAGCGGAAGGCGCGAGGGAGTCCGCCCACAGACAGGATGAGCCTGCTCTCTTTCATTGCATTACGCTCTGCAACTATAGGCCCCAGGACGGCTGTTAGTGTCTCGTGGTCTGACTCATCCACAAACATCAGGCAAAGGGGCTTACAGGACATCTCTGAGTTTGGCTTTGACTCAGTGAAGATGGTAACCTCTTTCTCCTGCTCGTCTGCCAGGACAGAGACAGACATAACAGTGAAAGAGAAACGCACAGCCTTCTCAGGAACAACTGGTCCTCCACCGTGCTTCTCGCTGACATCGCCCATGCCATCACAGGATTCCTTGATCATGACACTGAAGCCTGAGGTGCAAGTACTGTCTTCCATCCCACACTCTCTCAGCCCGTCCATGATGTCCTCCTCCAGATCCTTTAATGCTGACACCAGTGCCACATCATAGCGAAACCGTCGAGTGATGGTGTCAGCTGGGATGTCATCCACCGAGGAAGCCCATCCAGAGAGCCCATTAATAATGCCAACATTGCACAATGTGGACACATTTTTGAGAGCCGGCTGCCATTCAAACTGGTGAAAGCCAGGGAGAAGCTCCTTCTCTGCGGCTCGCAGGGTGTGCAGGGGCTGAAAGATCTGGCGGCCGCTGGTGGCTTTGACAGTCCGGTACATCTTGTGATACTGGCTGCAGCTCAGGAAAGTGTTGACCCGAATGGCCAAGCACACAGCAGGATGCAACCCAAAGCCTCTGCCTGCAGAGCGAGAGAAAATGAAAAGAGAAAGTTTATAAGAGAGAGACAGAAAGAGGCAAAGTAAAAAAATAGAAAAAAAGAAGGCGAGAGGAAAGGATTTAGACATGAAGAGAATTATTTAACACCAAGCTGTGGAAGCCCATTTCTAGTGCTTTGAAAAGAACTGCAGTATCTAACATTTCCTCATTTGATATCCCGCATTTGGAGTCATTTATACTATGAGACAGAGAAAATTGCGAATTTAACACCCAAATGTGAATGTATCATTGTCAAAAGCCCACAAGCCCATGATTACAAAATCCAATATTTCCTAATTTCCAAATGTTATAAGGGGACAGAGGGTGAATCAGTGAAGCTGGCAAAAGTGATGTATTGGCTGCAGATGAAAACAGACACCAGCTGGCTTCTATTCCCCAGAGAGGAGGATGGTGCTGTCTGTGTAATTTGCAGATACAAGAGCTGCTGATGTTGTTTTGATTCTAACAGCCCCTTCACAAGAGTTGTTATTGTGCATTAAAGGGAGTGTGAGACTGAGAGACTGACGGACAAGCAGGCAGGGAGTGAGTGTGGGGGAGAAGCAGGGAGGGGCTGAGCGTGCAACAGCGGCGGTTCAATAAAAAGGGATGGACAATAATGAAATGCTTTTCAATCAAAATCATAGGAAAACTTTCTTCTCTCTCTTCAATAGTGAACTTTTCAACTCATTGTTATTTATGAGTATTCCTCAGAGATAGGCAGAAATATTAATGAGCAAACACTATCATAATTTTCATTTGTTTGTTGTCCCTTATTCTTGGCTGCGGAGGATTATGTGTTGATTGAACAAAAGCCTTATAATAGCCTCTTACCTTGCATCAAGGCCTCCAGCTCGTCCGCCTGCCGGTGCTCATTCGCAGACCTCAGCGAGAGCAGAAACAGAGTCTGACACACAGACTTGAGGTCGCCACCTTCCTCTCTGTCTGCAAACGCCTTCAGCTGGTTCTTCATATCCCTGAGCCGATGCTTCTGGGCACGGCGGGTTAGCGATAGCAGGTGCTGACGGGGTCTTCCCCCTTTATTGGCTAGCAGGTAGTTGTCAAGGTCTGATGACTGCTGCTTTGTGTCCTGCTCACCCAGCTCATGGCCCAGACAATGAGTTTTAAATGAGTCTAGCCTTACCTGCTTGCCACAGCCGCTCTTGGGGCAGAGCAGAGGCAGGGAATGTAGGGCTGATAAGAAGGCTTTGGCAGGCAGACTGAGATCATCAGGGGTGCAGGACAAGTTGCAGGCCGGGCAGTGAGGTCCCAGGACGTGGATGTATTTTATAATGCAGCTGCGGCAGAAGAGGTGCCCACAGGGGGACTGGACTGGATCAGAGAGCAGGTGGTCACACACCAGGCAGGTGAAAGAAAAGAGGAAGTCAACAGGGAGCTTCTCAGAGATCAGCTTGGTATTCAGGTGGTCTTTCTGGCAGTGGGTGATGTTCCTCACCCATTGCTCTCTCTGGATGGTAGGTTTTCTCCACCCCCTGAGCACAGGACCATGATAATAGTCGGCGAATTGTCTCAGAGCCCTCCTCTCACCACCCGCAGTGCTGTCGCCGTGGTCTCTCCTGCTTCTTTTTCCCAAACTCTGGGCTCTGGGAATGGCTAACCTCCTCTTCCTCCCAGTCCGCTTGAATGAAGGTTTTTTGGGGGAGCAAAGGTGGCAGGGGGAAGAGTGGGGATTCCACTCAGGGACACTTGTTTTGGAGAAGCTGCAGACGCCTCCTCCTCGTATGGCAATCACCCAGCAGCGATGGCAGAAGGACAGAGGGTGGACGGATTCTATGTCTTCTGTCACATCCACTTTGAAGACTTTGAGGATGATCTCTGGCCAGCTGAGGAACTTGCAGTTCATTTTACGCAGGGCGCTTTTGGTGACCTCATCCAGATCCCCTTGAACATCGTGCACAGGTCCTTTGACTTTTCTCAGGACCTTTCCACAGAGACGACACAAGCCCCTTCACAGAGGAAAGAAAATGTGAAATTCCTAAAAACAAATGCATGTAATAAAGTGAAGGTCATAGAGCATAGTGACATGTTTTTACCTGAGGTGGTTCATGTGGGTCTCCATTTCCTGTAGCTTCATATCTATCCTGTGGCCAAGGCCCTCCACATTTTCCTTGGTTTTTCCCCCTAGGCACAATTTCATAACACTCCCTGGACCCGCACCATTATCTAAGTCTATATTTGGAGCTGCAGGAGGTGAGATCCCTAACAAGGCTCCATCCTCAGGCTGTGTCTCACTGGGCAGAGGGGCCTTCTCCATGGACTTCACCCTAAACAGTTTAAATTTCCACTGAGAGTACTTAGAGTGGGGATGGTGGAGCTCAGCCGGCATGGAGGATCTGGGGCCATCTGTCTCTGGGCTCTCCTCCGCCATGATGCGATTTAGACGTCAGACCCTGGAGAGGCGAGGCGAGGAGAGGAGAGGAGAGGAGAGGAGAGCTTAGTTTGATGTATCACAAAAGTTATGAGAATAATTTCAGCTGTCCATGAGATACATAGCTGTGGATGCCAGAGAAAAGATTTGAAGGTTCAAATGCTCAGATATCACCAGTGCATTCTCAACATTGATCCCATGACACAATCTAACAGCTTTACTTGATTCCTGTTGAATTCATACACCAAGTAGCCTGAAATCCCACTGAACAGAGAGCAGCGAGCCCGGACCTGCAGTGCTGTATTATACCATAAGTGGCATTTAGATCTTGTGTAAAATGCATGAGACAAGCATTGGGGGATCGATACAGCACAAAAATCTTCATTTCTCACATCTCCAATCCCATCGCTCAGGGAGCCGTTGTGACTTTTTTCCTTTGACACAGCGAGTTTGCTAAATGGGCAACCTTATCCCTGCAAGGCTGTCAATCATTTATATTAGTCATTTTCTTGGCTGGAGAGAGAATTGGAGCCCCCGGAGCCTCCGCCTGGCATTTAAAATGCAGGGGGGAAAGAACTCAGAGATACAGGAAACTTATTTCATAAAACATATATATTGACCAAAGAGGAGGGGAAAGAAAACAAGAACCCATCATATTGAATAAAGATCATAAAGAATTATTCCAAACACAACACTATTCAATTTAAGAGTCATATTTCAGCAGCCAAGTGCTCTTATGATGTAGTACAGGTAAGATCAATAATACTGCTGCACTGACAGACCTTATTTCATCTCCTCCCACACTATCTAAGTTCCATGACAAGTTCAGACAATAAAGCAGTCAAACAATCTTACCATTGTACGACTATAGCGCACACTCTCTAGAGTCTTCCATCTATCCATCTTTCAGTCTCCTCGCTACGTTTTCTCCCTGGGCAGCTCGAATCTGGCAGTGCTCCTTCATTTCCTGGCTCTCAGTGTACTTGACATGTTGAACTCTCCTTTGAGACAAACAGCTGAGCCTGTATGCATGTGTGTCAGCTGGGCTCTTACCTTGTTTTTTTCGGTCTCAGCTGTGCATCAGCTCCCCTGGGGGTCCTCTCCGCATGGGAGCACAAGGGAAGCCCTGGAGCCAAGGGCCCTACACACTACATACACTGTCTATGTTAGAGTCTGTCTCAGCTTGGAGCATCTGTTACCAGGAGTTGTGGCTTCATACAGAGGGATTGCTCCTGCCTTGCTCCTTGTGTCTTGTATTTATACCCTTCCTTTGATGGGATCCCAACAGTCATCTCCTGACACCTGATGCAAGCAGCTGATTTCAGAGAAAAAACAAGGTCAACCCCAAAGCACAGTTGCAAACATGTGTACGTACAGAATCCAACAGCATACCCCAAACAAGCAACTTTTAACCACACCATAGTGATCCTCAGCTGGAAACACTTCTATGTCACCTTTATCTCTCCTTTCTCATATCCATCTGCAGGCTCACCTCATCCAGGTGGCCTCTCTCTGACAGAATGAGAGATACTGTTACTTATGAAGCAGCTACCAGTGCAGTGGCACAACTGACAATAGAATAAATGCATTTGCTTGTCCCACAGACAAATAAAAAATCCAATAAACATTCTATCGACAATATCTTTTAAATAGTGGCATTACAAATTTAGGACTTGATCAGACTTTTAAACACAGACATGAAAAACACATGGAGAAGCTGTTACAAGTTAGTAGAGTAGCAACTAGTAAAAGCTGAAGACTTTGTTTTTTTTTGTTTGTGTGACTGTCAGATGTTTTTAAGTGTTCAACTCAAAGGTTGCTAATGAGGTTATATTTTGGGGGCAGCGTTAAGCAAATGTGCTGGCTGTTTCTAGGATATTTTTTTTCTCTGGGTGCTGACGGGGAGCTTGACTAATACATTCTAAGAAAATAGTCAACCTTCATGACTCCAGAGTTATTTTATAATTAGGTTCTCTTTTTTTTCCAATAAAAGCAGATATGCTACACGGCACTTTTGATATTAAAATAGTTTTTTGCTGAATTTGGCAAAAGACTATTCAACAAAATAGCTGTTAGCCTATTAGAAGTGACCACAAGGTAAGTGACATCTTTCACATGCAAGGTGACAAACTTCAGCACTGGACAGCCCCAATGCACGATTATTAACAACACGATACAGCCAAAATGTGACAACAACATAACATAGCCTAATCTCCACAGTCACGATTAGCTAACCAGTGGAAAGTCCTGAGAGGGACTAACATGTCCAAGCCGGATCTGCTACCACAACAAGGACAGAGAAGCTCAAATTGCAAGTGGCAACCTCCAGGGCTGACGAGTGAAGCCAATGCGGAAGTGCCAAAAACTGCAGTTCATCAACTGGCCACTGGAGGCTGGTTGCAATCCCCATAGACTCCCATGTTCAAACTTTACAGCTAAAATAAACATGTTTACAGTCTTGTGCAAAAAAAATGGCTTTGGTCTCTATGGCTCCTTTCATCATTCATGACAACTGTACAGGGGGGTGAATTTTTTTATGATGATCCTGTTAAGTTCTGCATAATTAAGGGCGTGTTCACTTTGACTGACAGGTTGTCAGCTAGGCTAGCAGAGAAATGATAAGACTAACTGTGCAGGTAATTGAACCACCAGTGCTCCAGTTTTTCGGTAAGTGACATTCTATTATCATTTCATTTACATGTTAGTGATAATTAGCATGCTTAGCTCATTATCTAAATATCTAGCAGCTGACCGGCATGCACCGAAGTCAAAAGGTAATACATAAGTGTTAGAATCTAGGATGATAATACTTTTGAACAAACAGCGTCTGTGTGAAGTTGGAAAATAAAGCTCCACCATGCTAACACTGGTTGGCTAAAGTTATGCTATGTCAGTGATACACTTGCCTTGTGGGCAATGTAGCCTTAAGGTTATGTTAGTGTTAGGCGCGGGTAGGTAACAGTTATGTTACGTTAAAATGTTGCAGACTGTGTGCAGTTATACTAAAGTGTATGTGCGTAACTTAAAAATGTTAATGTCACATTTCAGCATGATTCCAGAAATAACTTTAACCTAGCTGAGTGTTGTATTTTTGGTTAAGCTGGAGTTGGTTATTGAGGCTATCTGGCAAGTTAACATAAAATTTGATGCTCCGCACACCCAAACTTTTTAATTTTTTTAATATCATTGCGAAAACTGAAACAACATTTGCAGCTTGTCCTCTGTATTCAATGTTTTTACAACGTAAAAACTGTATTTTTACAGTCAACGCACAAATAGAAAGCGTGACTTAATTCTTTGCATAGGACGCCATAACTCCACTGTATTTTTACATAGCAAATAGTGATTTACTACCAAATTAATGTTCTGAATTTCACATGCGGCGCCTTTAAGAGTAAAAGAACAATTCTAAAATGCTTTAGAGGGCTGAACTGGGCCTATGCAGATTAGTGACGTGGCTATAGCCCCCCTTCACCCTGGTGTAGCTCTGTGCTCAATGCTGTAAGATTTTTTGTCATTTTTTCCTCATTACATTAGTGTGATCTGTCAAAACATAAAAGGTGACATTATGTTGATGTCTCAAACAGATATAATGTGAGACAACAAGACAAAAAAAATTACAGTAATACATTTCACATCAAAGCAAGAAGCTGTGGTTGTGGTTAAGTGTGTGGAGGCAGCTGAAGTAAAGAAACGTGTTAGTGTGTGGAACAGGGTGATATATGATGTATGAGAAAGGCAGACGGAAACTGAATAATTAAAAGGAGCAGAAATCAATTTCAAAAAAACAGAAAATAATTGCAGCAATGATAATCAGCGCCATTGTTATCATTGTCACTCCAATTACTGTATTATTGAGACTTTTCCCCCCTTGCCACTTCACATCATCTTGCAGTGTTTGTGACTGATGCTCCAGCAATTCAGGTGGTGACTGCTGTGAATCAAAATGACAAATGCGGCGATACAAATGAGTCATATTAGTGCGTGTTAGCTGTTAGTTATCTGAAGTGTTCATCTGGCAATTAGCATTTTGATAAGTGAGTTTTTGAGACAACATAAGACAACTTACAGAGGCCATAGACACCAGCTGAATTGTTGCTGTAGGGGTCAAACAGAGCAGAAACACTGTGTTGTGTGTTTGTGTCACTTGTCATTTTGTCCATCCCTTGTGGTTTTATCTGCGATTCTTCTCTCTCAATAATGTCAGCACATTTCATTCATTTCTCCGAATGCGGTCTTCCCGTCACCAATCAGACTGAGTTTTAATTAGACAGCATCGTTTGATGTAATGTCTCAGTAGGTATGGGGAGTATTTGCCCAAGATCATTCTTGTTTGTAATTATCCAGGGGATTAATCTGGTGTATTCGCCACGGGAGCCTGTTGCTGTTGCGTTGGATTTGCCAGCCAAGTCATTAGATACACAGTCAGTGGGCACCAAACAACAGTTGGGTCTCTCCCACTCTTGTCAGCTTAACAGGGGAGCGGGATGAATACTGGCAGGCTTTGCAGCTTATATTTGGTGCATATGGTCAAGTGTGACCTTAGACAGCAATAGTGGTTTTTGTTTGTTTGTCTGTATCTTTGTGACAAGCTTATTCACAAGAAATGCTGAAGCGCAAATACACAGAAAAGTTAGCGGGGGGAGAAAAAATGTTGTTTTCCAGGCCTATCCAAATCCATCAGACACAGCTGGGAGATTTGAAGTACACAGTGCTTGATACATTACATATCCAAGAACAAGCAAATGATGGATTGTAGCAAGATGTTCCAGGCCTATTTATAGTTGATATTTAGATTTATGATAGCCAAGTAGCCACATGCTTCCAAGGTAAACGACACACCTCGCTCTGTGGCAGACAGGGACGGAGCTGCAGATGTCTGCCTGACAAACAAGCGGTGACCCCCTGAGACCGTCATCTCTCTGCGCCTGCTAATTGACTTGTTATTGATCAACTCAAAGACAGTCTGATTTATGGGGAAGAGGACCTGTGGAGACAGCCACCTGGCATGGAGCGGAGTGTTATGAATGTGAGGAGCAGACCCTGGGGGACTAGAGGCTGCAGTTTAGGAGGACATACAGGAGTTTGCGATGCACCAGTGAGCTGACACCTTGCACTAGGAGGCAGTGTTTTTTCTAATATGATGAATCCAAACAACGTCAGTGAGCAATGTGTGTGTGTGTGTGTGTGTGTGTGTGTGTGTGTATGAATGTGTTGCAGGTGTGTGCAGTGGGAGGGATGAGTGGGAATATGGCAGGGGCAGAGCATGTGTTTGGGGGAAGAAGGGGTGGAGAGAAATGAGGGTTGGGAGGATCTGTGTATCTGTGTTTGTTAGTCCATGCTGGTGTGTAGGTGACGCACAAGAAGAGGACTAAATAAATATAAAGTAGTCTTATGGGCAAATTATGAGACAATGGGCCCCTGGGCACAGACAGACACCCAACCAACTCTCCTACATAGATGGAAGATACAGATTTTTGAGTCTTTTGTGTGTCTCTGCAGCTGGCATGTCTTTGTAGTCATTTCTCATCTTTTTTAGTTGATAATGTCTCTTCATAGTCATTTTGTGCCCCTTTGTGATTGTTTTGCCCCTTTTTGTCATATTTTTGAGTCTCTTTGCAGCTATTTTGCTTCTCTAGTGCATCTCTTGTGTCTCTTAGTGGTCTTTGTAGTCCTTTTGAGTGTCTTTGTAGTCATTTTGTGCCCTTTGTGATTGTTTTGCCCCTTTTCATGGTCTTTTTGAAGTCATTTTGTTCTGTTTTTTGTAGCTGTTGTGCATCTCTTTGTGGTTGTTTTGTGTCTGTTTGTGGCCATTTTGTGTCTCTTTGCGGTTGATTTTCATCTCTTTGTAGTCATTGTTAATATCTTTGTACTTGTTTGTGTCTCTTTGTAGTCATTTTGTGCCACTTTGTGCTTGTTTTGCCCATTTTTGTAGTCTGTTTAAGTGTCTTTGTATCTCTTTGCAGCTTTTTGCATCTCTTTGTATTTGTTTTGTGTCTCTTAGTGGTCATTTGGAGTCTCTTTGTAGTCTTTCCGAGTGTTGTGGTTGTTTACCTCTCTTTGTAGTTATTTTGTGCCCCTTTGTGATTGCGTTGCTCCTTTTTGTAGTCTTTTTGAGTG